ACCCAGAGCAGTCCCCCGCCAGCCGCTGTCAGACAGAGGGCGCAGCAGTCCATGCACGTCAGCGGCTCCACCACTGTGCACAAGTCTGCAGAGGAGACGTGGCACTGACACTGCAGCAGGCAGAACTGAGAGGGACTGTGCAGCTTCAGTTTCCTGTTCAAGCCACATATAGATCCACTACAGATAAGGACCAGATACAGCAGCATCACGTTGAACCAAACAGCAGCCAGAGACCTGCACTCAGGCAGCTCACGGCCCCTTAGTGCCATTCCACCTAAAAACATGGCCATGACAGTGTGACTCTCTGACCATGAAAACCAACTGCTGGTGTCTGGACTCACACTGATATCATTATTAGTCTGACAGTCATCCAAGGAGAACAGCATCTGGCTGATGGTTATTCTCAGGATGTAGCTCAGGAACGTTAGAGGATCCATCAGGTCTGTTGACACCGTACTGAATCAGAAGTTTCAGCTAGAATTTGGTCTAAGTCGCACGTCTGTAGCTTTATCAGCCAGTTTTCCCTGAGCCCTGTAAACGTGAACATTCTGGATCAGCAGGTCTTGAACGTGACTCGGATCCAGATCAGACTTTGGTGTGTGACAGATTTTATGGGGATGTTATGGTGCAGCTTTTGTCCAGGCCCTGAAGGCGCTGTGGAAGGAGTCAGAAGCAAACAGACTGAAACTGGCCCTGTCTCACAGCAGGGAAGGATCCTTTAAAACTAATTCCTGGATCAGGATGACGATCCAGATCAGCACCAGAATCCACAGACCGTTCTGTTGGGCCGTGGCCATCCCCTACCTCTCCAAAACATTTTCATCCAATAAATAAGTCAACAAACATGGGTAAAAACACAGCCTGCTGACATCTGTTGACACCAGCCTCCACCTGGCAGAGGTCCCAAATCATTCTAAATACATTTAGTGAAAACAGAGTTTAATACATAACCAGACGTACGACAGCAGCTCAACAATAACAATCAGTGATCACCAGTAACTGCTGCTGTCCAAGCTCTATAGACTGCACTGACTCTTAAGTCAGGAACAAACAACAGGCCCACACACACAACCTTTACCTCCAGATGCCAGAGCAAAGATCCATGACCAGGTGAACAAAGCCAGAGGTGACCCAGGTGTTGCTGCAGCCATGAGAGCAGCCGTCGCGTCCGTGCTGACACCACAGCTGCTTGTCCTGCTGCTGTCTGCTGCATTTAACTGGCCCTGGACCCACCCACAGTCTGAGTGTGAGGAAGAGACGCCCCGAGCAGGGTGAGGCTGACATGTTCCTGGTTTACTCAGCATGAGAAGCAAATGTTGAAAGTCAGCACATGTGAACTTTAAGATGACAGCAGGTCGAGTTTAGAGCAGGAGTCTCAGACTCACAGTCAGAACTGAGGCAGGATGGAGCAGAGGCTCATGGCCATCAGCACTTTGCATCTCAGCCTGGTTTTAAATAAGGCCCTAGTGATAATACATA